GCAAACACTTGAATCTTAACAAGTGTATTTGTCTAACTTTGTCAAAAATATCTCAATACTCATCTGACAAGTCCAAACAAACAAATGATTTCAAAATATTAAAAGCTAAAAAATCTGCCAATGGGACAAGAAAACTGTACTTGTTTAGTGTCTTAAAATGAATAGTCTGAATTAGATATTATATCTTATCTTATAAGGCACTTAACAAGTCAAATTATCTTTCCAAATTGGCAGATATTTTTACACTTATTACAAGCAATACATGCCTTATTTTTTGGGTTTAAAATCTTGTAATAAGATGTTAATGTGGACTTGTCATGTGTACGTGGCTTAATATTAAGTGTAAGTGAATATTTTTGACTGAATATTTGACAAATGTACTTGCTAAGATTTGAGTTTTTGCAGTTTGTCTGTCTCTATCACTTACTCTCCTCCTGTTTATCCCTCTATCACGCTTCCTCCTCGGCTCAAGCAGCTGTAGCCTGCAGGTGCTTGCTCATTGGTGAATAAATAAATAGTAATAATATTAAAAAGATAAAGAGAAGGGTATGCTCTTTTTGTAAAATGCTGTGAGCTCACTTCTGTTGAACTATATACATTTGTATTTAAAAGTATAAAAAAATCTACACAATCCCACAACATGCCTTGATATTTTTCTTTTTGGACAGACGGATACATTTTTTGATTAAGAATACTTTTTAGCCATGCAACAACCCCTTCACAAGATGGGAAAATAATCAAAAAGCTTTTGAGTGCTTTCCTATAAAAGCCTGAACTCAGTTCAGGTTCGTCTGCAGGTTATTGTGTATCAAACAAATGTCTACATCTTGAACAGCTCGTTTTCTCAGGCAAATAGTGAAAAACCGCCATGTGAGGATTAGTTCTGTGTTGGAAAAAATGTGGAAATCGACTTGAATGAGTACTATTGCAAGGCACTGTGCACATGTTTGCATGTTCCAGGTGTTCTTCTTACAGCTGTCCAGATGTTTGATTCTGACGACAGGCTCATTAGACAGGACGGTGTTGTGATTGCGTGCCTACATCAGCACAGTAAACCTCGTCACGTGTATTTGTGTCCTCGCTGCAGTCAGAACCTCGTCCTCGTGGGCTGCTTCAAAATTAAAACATTCACTCCAGTTCAAAGGATCTGTCAGGCTGATTCTCTTTGCCTCCCTGCTTCCTATTCAGCCCCAGAAACACCGCTCCGACAGAGAAACAAGCCGAGGTGTGTGTGTGTGTGTGTGTGTGTGTGTGTGTGTGTGTGTGTGTGTGTGTGTGTGTGTGTTGAGACAATGACACTAACACTGCTGAGGGTTTTTAGAAAGGTCTGACTCCCACTGAGGCCGGCATAGAAATGTTTACTGTCACGGTGCGCTGAAAGGTGCTCGGGATAAAAGTCTCCAACAAATGATATGATGTCGTACGCAGCAGTCTGCAGAAAGAGGTCAAACGTCCCCTTTGGGGGGGGGGAGGGAAAAAAAGGAAAAAGAAGACACACTCACTTGAAAGCAGAAGAAGTTCTGAATGTGACGCGGTCAGATCATGAAAGTTTTAGCACATCTTCTCAGGGAGATAAATATTAATTTAGTCTAAACAGGGAAGTCACGCAGCGGTGTTAGTGATATTAAACGATGCTTTTCCAAAGAATCTTCTCATGGATGTTAATGTGATGGAAATCATTCAATGAAAGGCAGCAGTAAACAGGTGAGTCTTCACCCTTGACTTGGTAGAACTGAGAGTTTTAGAACCTGCAGTTTTCTGGGAGTTTGTTCCAGATACACGGAGCATAGACACTGAACGCTGCTTCTCCATGTTTGGTCCGGACTCTGAGGACAGACAGCAGACTCGTCCCAGACGACCTGTGCAGCCTTAATACTTGTTTTGTGGACAGAAGCAGTCATCCAATACTTATAGAAACAAGTTGTGCTGCCGTTGGACTAAATGATTACTTTGCTGAGTAATATAGTGCATTACTTTGACCTACATGTCAGAATACATTTCAAAAAAAGTTTAAAAAAAAAAGCCTCTCAATAATTCAGAACCTTGTTAACGCTTGTTGCTCAAACTGCATTTTCATGTGTGAATCATCCAAATGTTCTGCTTTTTTTTTTAAAGGTATTTTTGAAACTTATCTTCTGGGTACCAAATGCATATTTTACCTGGATTATTATTAATGGAAATAACAACATTGCATCTCCTTGACAACCTCACCTGAACTCGGCTGAATAATGCAAAGAGAACATGATTAATGTATGACCTCCGGAGGGGCCGAGTGCTTTCACAGTCAATCCCACTTCTCAATCTTTGCATCGGAGGATGCAGCCGTGCTTAATCTACTGTACATGTTACAATTAAATAATGATGCAGGATTTGTTTGAACAATACAGTCATGAATATTTATGTTCACACAAATATTCAAGGATTCTGTTGTTGTGATTTCTGATAACTGAAAAGCTGAGTTACATAATTTCAAACTAAAACAACATAGTGAGATTTTTCAAAGCTGCCTAGTTCCATTTTTTTTAAAGGAAGTTGCTGTGAGTTCTTCTGTGCCTCTGTTTTCACAAAAATCGTCCTAAATGGACGAGTGATCGCAGAAGTTAGTCGACAAAGAGGATTTAAGGACACCGTTTAATCCCAGTGACCTCAAATGCACCAGCAGATGAGCTCAGCCAATGTTGGTTGACCTGCTCCACATTTAAGCCTTTTGCGCACAACTATAAGCCAGCGCTGCAAAAAATAACCATTTTTTTAAGTCAACAGGGGAAAAGGGCTTATTTTCTTTTGAAACATTTGGCATGATTCACTCTGTTTTCAAATGTTTTTATTCTTTTTGTGGAGTATCCTCCCCTGCTCGTATTTCAACACAATGCCAGAATATTTGGGGAAATTGCTTGAACCAAATTTTCTGCAGCACAGACATTTTTTACCTTCTTTAAAATTTACAAGGACATTTTAAGACTATTAAAGGTGACTGTTTTTGCAGTGTAGAGTACTGACTGTTTGCACAGCAGCATAATGTTATCTCATCTAAATAGCAAGGCAAATTCCTTTTCATGGGATTCTTAAGGCTCATGCTCATGAACCATGTGCTGCCTTCAAGGCTAGAAGGTCACCACTGGAAGGAAAAAAAATATTTTCAACAAAACATCTGCTAAAAGAACTGAATGCATTAAACATATTCCCTAAAAAGGCCTGAAATAAATCTGTACTTTTCATGCAACTTAACTTTTCAGGTATTATATTGAGTTGCCTCTTCATAAGAAAAATTGTATGACTTGAAAATATACATGGAAAAAGAGCTCTTGTGTTGATATGTTGCACCATTTTGGATGTCAAAGTTTTACAGTTAAGTGTCGTTACCAGAATGACTGAATTTGTAGTTTTTGCAGTAAACACGCTGCGGCTCGTCAGGCGATTTCCTCGGGTTCATTCAGCCAGAAAGAAAACGACCGTGTGCTGAGACTCGGGGGTATTTTACATGAGGTAAGACTGTGTACAGTGCACACACACGCACGCGCACACACACACACACACGCACGCGCACACACACGCTCACAGCCGGAGAGGAAAAGCAGCGCACTATCGCGGGAACACTTGAGGGATCATCTCCTCTGAGCTCTGAGGAGGACGCGGGTATTTCCACCGCCTGTGTGTTTACATTCGGTCTCAGAGAACAAAGGGCAGCGGGGTCGTTGTGTTGTGGAGATTCACTTTGTGTCCTTCGACAACCTCTGCCTAAGTGTCCTTGAGCAAGATTACTCACTCTCCGGGATGCTGCTGCAGCTGCCCCTGCTCTGTCCTCTGACAGGGAAAAATACAAGAAGCGAAGTGTGACATCTTTATCTCCGAGTTTTGAGGGGAACTGAGGTCAGGAGAGGATGAAACGAACCCTTTAACACGAAGGAGACAATACACTCCTCTTTACTGATGGATATCAAAGCGTAAAGTGAGTTAAATTAATTTGTCAAAGGCATTACACAGACAGTCAATCTCACTGCCCTGTTTTATAAAAAAAAAAATGTCTCTAAATCTAACAAATGTCTCCAGATCAGGAGGTTTCTAAATGATTTATTGGTGGTTGGAGTTGATCCAAAGTGCGCACACAAACAAAAATGAATCCCTGCCAACGCAGATGTTCAAAGAAAGAACTTTTGGCTCCATTTGCTTCACATTTTAAATATGCACCATCGCATCCCTCCTGAATGGGACGTCGCCGCTGAATGATAATTAATAAGGGAAGCGCCCCTCTCCACCAACACGTTTGCACTGCTCCTCTTTGGCACTAACTGACCCGTTGTTAATCCAACACAATACAACAAATGTAGCGGCATCCTCTTATAGCGGCTCGGGGTGTCGGTGAGCAAACAGCGTAATTAAAACAGGGGGACAAAGGAGGGATTTCACAGAACACAGCGCAGCACAGTGAATGCGGTAGATTTGGTAAATGAATGTGGAATAAGCATTGTGGAGCCGCAGGTGGTGACTGATTATTTACCCATAACAACAGCGGCTGTGGAATAAACATTTAGAGCAACAGGCGTGAAAACTTGCGCTTTACGCACAAAATCTCTCACCAGCACTTTTAATTGGACATGTGAGAGGACAAATTACAGAAGTGTTTCGTGTTTAATGTGTCATTATCCTGAAGCCAGAAGTTTGTAAACGTTGTTTCTAGATGTGTTCGGTTCCACAATTTGGTCTTGACTTTCTTTACAAATTAGATGTTTTAAGGATTTACACTTTGTCATCAAGATTTCATTTGTATAAAAACAATAAAATAAATGAATCCACACCGGAAGCAAAGACATTAGCCAATGTGAAGACTTGGTTTTAAACCAGAAAGATATTTTACGGCTGAGTCTAGACTTAATGGCCTGTTGAGATTTATGTTTAACTACATTACAAGTTTACGCACATAATTACGTTTTGTAAACAAACGTCTCTTACACTGACATAAATTGCAAATGACTCACACATACATATTGCTCTGGCCGTACCTTCTCTTCTCATGCCGACTTTGAGGCACTTCTTGAGCCGGCAGTACTGGCACTGGTTCCGGTGGTGCTGGTCGATGGGGCAGTCCCGGTTCCCTCGGCAGGTGTAGGACAGGTTCCGCCTCACGGAGCGCTTGAAGAAGCTTTTGCATCCCTCGCAGGTGAACTGGCCGTAATGCTTCCCGCTGGACTTGTCCCCGCACACCATGCAGTCCACGTTGGGGAGCTTATCCCCGGAAAGTGCATCGTTCCCCGGGGTGGAACCGTTGGGGGTTCCCGGTGCCCCGCCGGGCTCCTGGCCGCAAATCTGGAGCTGAGAGCCCGGATCTGCAGAAATGTTCTCTGACCACTGGTTTACTACCATTGCCATGCTATCCCAAAACACTTTGGTCTTTGTTTAAATCACAAAAGCAGATAGAGAGTGATAGAGACTCGTCCTGACTTCTTGGGAGAAAAACACGGGGAAGGACGAAAAGGCGCTTCCCGCTTCCCCCAGAGGTCAAACTGAGTTACTTTAGCTGATTTAATTAAACCTTTTCTCTATCGTAGTGAGTTTTTGTCCTGCAAACATCTATCAAAGTTCACAGACACAGCGAGGTATGAACATGATCGATGCATGAGATCGTAGCATTCAACTCCCGATGTTCCTCACTGCGCAGAAATCCATAAACACGTTGTCCCTTAGAGCGAAACCTCTCTCAAATGTCAGCCAGAAACGTCCGTATTTAGGCTCAAAAAATTAAAAAAAATGTATCTTACTCTTCGCTTCCCTCTCCAAGTCAAGATAAGAAAAATCACACGGGGGAGGGGAGGGGGGAATCGCTGGTCAATACAGCCTGTCTCCGCTCGATGCTGCTTTTAGATTCACTTCAGATCAACTCTTCTAGACTGACACACTTGATCTAATACTGACCACATTTCATGGGAATCGTTGGGGTCCCAGATAGCTCTTGCAGTGAGAGTAAAGCGCAGTCCCGAGGAGAAGTCAGTCCTGGTTGCTCTTATTGTTGCGCGCGTGAGAAGGGGTTTTGGATTTACGTCAGCGTGAGATGTTTATTTCGCCCAACAACAACAAAAAAAAAAACAGCCGAAATATCCTTAGCGAAGAAGAGATTTCACAGACACAGAAAGCTTTGCCGCTCGACTGTCTCGCTTCTGCCTCCCGACTGCCCGTCCCTCCTCTCAGAGTCAAAGCTACAATTTGGGGGAAAGTGTCACTCGCAGTTCTGCCTCGTACGGCTTGCCCCCCTGGTGGCGCTCCATGTAAGGTCATAACTGCCAAATAAGGTCAGAGCCCCGCCCCTCATAGGGAGAGGTGAAAGGAGAAGTGCCGGCTGTGATTGGTCCCAAAAGAACGTTAAAAAGTAAGGAGCTTTCTGATTGGACGACAGTCGATTAAGGGTGAGTTTGACTGACAGGAGCGGTTGTTGTGATACGAGAGCTTTCAAGAGGGACTACACCATCGCCCCGGTGCAAAATTAAAGTCTAATTTGTGCTTTCAGACTGGACAGAATTATCCTGTTATTGATGTGTTAAAAGAAATACATTTTATAAGTTAATTAAGCTCTGACAGTAGAGAGTAAATCTAAACAATTAGGTGAAGGGACACAAATAGTTTTTATTTTATTTTTATTAGGATCTTATAAGAATGCATCTTTATGAAGAGAAGGGAAGGTATTTAAAGTCCCCCTTCCCTAAAAAAAACGTTTCTTTTTTCGCGTGATTTGGATGTTTGACCTTCACTTATGTTCACAAAATATGTAGAGGTGTGTTTAAACACTAAGTGTCTGACCTTAAAACTCTAGTTTGATGTCCTGAAGTGGACTTCAGGACATCAAACTAGCCTGCACGTTGGTGATGTGAAACCTAAAATGCACCTACTTTAAATTAAAGTAAGAGACATCATGTTTCCAGTGTTGAACTTTTCCAAACTATCTGTTTTCAGCTTCTGGTTTTAGAAATGAGGGGAAAATGGAAGACAAGATTATTCTAAGAGTTTTTCACCTAATGTTTTTGTTCAGAAAACTGTATTTGCTGAACTGTGAATTATTCAAAGTGTGTTAATATCTTCAGTCATGCCTTACATGAATTGCATTAAATTCTCATAATTGGGGGGGTTTGCAGACAGGCTATTTGGACACATGGTGAAGAGAGACCTTTAAGATTGACCTAAGAAATTATGTGTGTGGACCTTGACTGTCTGCTTGTGAAGCATAGAGATAAAACAAATAAACATTCATGCTATTTCTGCACAACAAAAAAAAGAATCTTATCATATCTTGTTTATTGTTTTGCCCTCTGATCATGAACTGGAGGTCACAGTTTACCAACCGTTTTACCTCCGTGCAGCCATGCCATCAATCTGAGGTCAGCTGTCCACAGCATTCATCCCACTGATGTAGACTGCCATCAGAAACCCCCTGCTGTTTGCACGCACACGCAGACATTTACAGTTTGAGAAAACAATCTTGCAGAAATTAATACATGTTTTATGTATTCCTTAAAGGTCACACATTAGGTGGCCAAACACCTCTTGGCTCCACGAGGTCAACAACAACTACAAAAACAAGAAGAAGAAAAGGTGCCAAACTTCTCACCAGGCTGCACAAACTCGCTGAACGTTTTAACAGCAGAGAAAGTGTTGATTTTGTCGCTCTGTTGTGTTGTACAGTCTGTGGCAGCGCACAAAAGGCCGCTGCACTAATTAACAGTGACACTGTTGTTCTGTAATGGGGGGTTTACTCCGCGTGGGGAGCAGCGTGGACCTGATTCTTTCCCCAGATCAGGTCTGTATTTGTCACGTGAAGGTAATTTCACCGAGGGACGGAGTATCTATCTATCTATCTATCTATCTATCTATCTATCTATCTATCTATCTATCTATCTATCTTCCTAATTTGAAACGCAGTAAAAAATGTCCATCTGATCAGTTTTATAAAATCATAACCGAATAATAATAATAGTAGCTCGTAAAATTATATCCAAATACATGCAAATAAATCATAATAAAATGGTAAATAACGATTAAAAAATGAAAATAAAATGAGGGGAAAATGAAGGAGAAGACAAACAAAGAAGAAAAATAACCTTTATTAAAAAAAAAAAGATGATTAAGACGAAGAAGAAAATTAAGAAGAGGAAGAAGGTGAGTGAAACCTCTGATCATTAACCTGATCATAAACCGTTGTTACGCAATAATTACGTAAGCAGAGCGCAGCAGCTGAAAACACGACAACAGACACTACAAGCTTCTTCAATAATCATTTCTTCCACAAAGACAGGCAACAGTAATTCCCCAATCCCCACTTTTCTCCGAAAAAGCACAAAAAGGAAGAAAAAAAAAAAAAAGCGCTAAAATGACTCAACTGCACTTCTGGCTTTTGAGTGCAGCGCCGGAGGCCACGAGCTTGGCCCCGCGCGCGGCTTAATTGCTGTCACATGTAACCTTACCTGTCTCCCAATTAGCCCTGTGACTCGCTATTAGCAGATTCCACGAGCTGCAGGGCAGGGACCGAGGGCACCTCAGGGTTTGGGGGCCTAATAATTAGAGTGTAATTCTATACAGGCAGGCTCATGATGAATATGAGCAGGGCTCCTCTGAACACAGGGTTAATTAAATGAGGATCAACAGGCAGGTTTGGTAACGTGTGATGTCCAAATATAGTCAATAATCAATAAAGACAACACAGGCTCTGACATGTTTGTGGTCACTACGTCTTCAAGGAGGTAGTTTTACTTTCTGTCTTAGTGTTCTCCGTTTAAAGTGACAGAGACATCCATATCTCTGCAGCATCATAATGACAGTAAACAGGAGGACTTCAATGTGTTTTGTTGCTTATATTCGACTTCCATCTATTTCAGCATTGAAACCTCAGCACACATGTTAAAGCTAAATGAAAGTCAGAGAAGTTTAAAGACATACACTGAACTGCAGAAGTATTCTAGTATTATGGTACAGAAAGTTTGCCCCATGGACTTTTACATTAAAATGTGACATAACAAACAGGAAAAAGTATCTGAACAAACAAAACACACTTGTTTTTTTTTTCTTTTTCATATTCAGGAATATTGCTATGTTTAGATGGGAGATAATGTGAGTTTTGTCTATTGTTATTTCCCCTGAAGTGTAAGGAAATAACAACTGAAATAAAAGTTACCAAATAAAAATCCTCACTTTACTGATGTTAGAGTCATATTAAGAGTGAATCTCTCATAGGAGGGAGAGATTACATGTTATCTTTGAGCAGTGGTTCTCAACTGGTGGGTCGGGACCTAAAAGTGGGTCGTGGACACATTTTCAGTAGGTCAAGATTAGAATGTATGCTTAAAAAAAAATCTGTGAACAAGTCTATGAAGTGCTTTTTAAACATGTTTGTTTTGTTCCGTTTCTTCTCTGTCAAGTTTTGTACCATCTGAGCCAATGACTTTTTTGTCATTGGATGGTAAAAAGATTTATCAGAAATTTGGGTCATGGTTTTTCATGAATGAGTTGGTGGTGGGTCCTGAAGCTTGACCAGTTGAGGACCACTGGTTTAGAGTGTGTGAGCACTGTTTGAAGTCCACATATTGACTTAATTGTGCTTTGATTGAATAGTTTTCATAAACGTTTCTGCCAATAAAGCCCCTGCAATTTAAAAATGAAAGACAAAAAAATATGAGCTCATATCCCTTGATGGGTTTTGCATTGCTTGAGATGTCAATTTCTGTTTCAAAATCCACTCTGAGAGTGCAATATTTGGGTAACCAAATCAACCTGGATCAAATAGGACGTGCATGTCTTTTTTTAAATTTCCAGGACAATATTTTACTGTGAATTTTTTCAGTTGTCGAATCAAACTAATGTTTTCCCGTTAATATATCTTTAAAATAATGCATAGATAGGTTTGTGTCTTGTGTTTGATTCTCTCTTGACGGACGTCTGGACCAACTGCTGCAGGTCGGGGCTCTGACACACGAGGGTGTCAGGACGGGGGCAAGAGGTGGTAAACATGACCGCACCGGATGGCCTAGGAAACGCAGAGGCCGTCGCCTTTCCTGTTAATTTATGGACCACCTGACAACACCGGGGCCCACAATGCATCGCTCCGCTTCAGCCGCTGCTAAATATGATCCCATTTAGGAAAGGAGCCATCAAGAGAGGCAGGTATACGTGTAACCTGAGCGAACTACCGAAATAGAAATTCAAAGCTGAGAATGACATGTTTGTTCGGAAGGATCTGGTGGACAGATAGTATCAGGATGCAGTTGGAGCTCGCTGGAGGTCAATCTGCTGTGGAAAGGCTCGCTGACGGACGGACAAGGAAGAAGAACATTGTAGTTGAAATGAAAAAGTGTGTACAGAAAGAGAGGGAGAGATGAACTTTGAGAATGTTGTGATTAAATCCTCAGTATGCAGGAGCAAACAGAACCTTGTTTTTCTTCTCAAACTGCTTTAATTCACTTTGTGCAAATATATGAGGGTGTCAAGTCGCTGCAGAGACACAGAGCTGAGAGTTTCTGAAACTCAGAGCCGTTTCCTTTGGCCGATTGGGGTTGATTAAGAGGTTAACTGCGGAGAGGCACGGCGTCTTTAAGGGAGATTTATCTGTTCCTGCTCTGACCCCTCGGGGGAAGCTTCCCTCACCCCCAGTGTCCCCAGGATTTATTTAGTTATTTGTTTATCTGTTCTGAAGGGTCACCCTTTTCTCTGCACTACATCTCAGCCCTGTTTGTGCATCTCAAACCCATTTGTCATCCCGTTTTGGTGGGATCATGCATGGCGCTGGTTCCATTTGCTGACTAAGCGAAGAGGACACGAGTGAAGGCCCCGGCGAGTCTCGAGACCTTTGACATTTGGCAGCGATACACTCCCAGAATTGGTTATTTTCATTTAACACGTATTTTGCTATCTGTTCAACTTTGGCCCCCATTTCGAGGAATTATGGTGTTTTCCTAATTGCTTCCTGACAGTTTTAATTCAGCTCGGCCTAAATTTATGGACTTTTATTTCCTATTTTTGTATGAATTCATTAATGTGCCTGCGTCTTTTGCAGAAAGGTGGTGAACCGTAGTTTATAATCCTGACAGACGAGACTTTATTTTGTCATTTCACACAGGAAAATGTTTTCATAAAAACATCATCAATACACATCACCAGTTTGTAATGAAATCCCAGCAACTTGAGTTTATTTACT